ATTCTGTGATTCTGTGATTCTGTGAACCACTAGGGTTGGTAGTCACAGGATGGCATATGGCCTAACAGCAGTGAAGCAGGGCAGCAGGGAGAGTGGGGCCAAACCATGAGAGGAAAGAAGAGTGAATGTGAGAGCTTTGCAATACACCACTGATCGGGGAGTGGAGGGCTCAAAGGTGCATCTTCAGAGGACCATTTCTAAGGAATAGGTTGGGATAAAAGGGTCCTTGGTGTGGTGCAGGTTGTTCTTATGAGAGGCACTGGGTATGGGACTGTGTTCAGAAAGACATGGCATAACAAAGCATCAAGCTGGCCTGGAGGGTACCAGCTTGACAAAGGTTTGGGGAGAGACATGGGAGGGGTGAGCAGTGCCTGAGCCAGCCGTGGTGCAGGCAGCACTGGGCAGAGCGGGATCCAGGACTCCAGAGCAGAGCAGTAAGAGAGGAAAAGGACAGCTTCATTGCTGAACAAAGAGAGGTCTGCACCATCCCTGAAACAGGAAAGGGCTGTCTGGCAAAGCAGTTGGGAAAGATGGCTCGTGACTGAGTACAACTGGATGGCAGGGAGATAAGGCACCGGAGCAGTGCAGGCTTGGGGGCTGTGCCCAATGAACTGAGTTCTTCTAACCTGTCTGCCAAAGAAAACCTCCGGCTCACACACAGCTTAGCATCTTTCTGCAATCTGTAGCTGGGAACAATGTCAGCAGCGACTGGATCAGATACATAACTTTTCCTTTGCTTGCTATCAGAACATAAGGAGGAAAAAAAGGGAAGAGAAAGAAAGACAGATCTCATTCCACACGAATTTATGGAAAGCCAAGGAAAAGCGCTTGATGCAAAAATCTTGCACCACACATTTCGAAATATATGTTTACACAACGATAAATGTATAAACAACAAGTCGATGGAGCTACTGCAAATCCAAATAGAAAAGTGGCTTAATTATATGTGCACCCTTTAAACCCACTGCTGGAAAGATTATCATATTTGCATTAGCTAGATTTGTTTTGTGTTGGTGGGAGCAGAGAGAGTCAAACAAAGACTGCCTGGAATTCAAATGTTCTCAGGGCCTGGAAAGCTGAATCCAGCCGGTGGTTTGTGATGGCCCCACCACAAAAGAGCACAAGCTCTTTTGCATATAAATAAATATTGAGAATGAGTGAATTCTGTGACATTGGTGTGTAAATACCACTACAACAGCCAAATTCTGTGCCTGCCACGATATCTAGCACATGAAAAATATCCCAGCCCTTCTTCAGTGTAGGCTCTGCTCCTCTTCTGATGTGCCTGGTGCCTTTTGAGGTCTGTTAATGTCTTATTGTCAGAATACAGGAGAGTAAAGCTCATGTTTTATACATGCTTTCAGAGCACCCGTGACTAGTCATTATTGAAAATAAGATGCTGTTTTAGATGATCCCTTGATCTCTTTCATGGCGGCAGATTCTGCACTCTTGTTATGAGATATTTTCAATCACAGAGCCTATGCACTTTGGCATTATTGCAGATTTACCTTGAATGGATAGTTTCCTTCATGAAAAACCTCTGTAAAGGGTTGTGGAAATGTCCATTGACAATTATTCCTTGGGTGAAATGTTTAGACTTTGAAATGACTCCTTGTATTACTACAACACTCACAAAGCTTGTGATAAGATGCATAGAAAATGTTTCGCATAACGTCTGAGCAAGCAAGCCTACAACACTAGCAGCAATTTCTGAGTAGCCAGGAGATATCTGAAGCCTAACATGAATTCTCCTGCTGGCTTTTGTTAGCATTCAGAAAGCCAAATGGAAAATGATCATTCTGCTTCATAGCAGGATTTCCAGTCATTGAAGTATATCTTTGTTCTGACTTGGAATGAAAATGAAACATTTCAAAGTTCTCTGAAAAGCAGGCGTTAGAAAAAGTGTTTGGAACATTGAAAAAAAAAAAAGGAAAGTATTTTGATCTCTGCTAAGCAAAAGAAAAATTGTGCTAGAAAAAGGACATTGGTAACCCAGAAGTCCTAGAGGCTTTGGAGGTATTGATTGAGCACAGTACCTCTGTGCTGGTATCTTCAGGCCTTCTAATCTCACTGGTTTTCTGTGTATCCTGACTCTAGGTGAGCGGATTCCTTGGGCAATGGCCATGAATTCGTTCAGGCTCATGAGTTCCCACGGGACCTGGGAAGTTAAAGAGTTCGAGATCCAGGCAAATCTAACAGACTAGAGACAGGATCCATCTCACCTGGCTTTGACCATACTAAAGTTAGACATATGGTTTAAACTAGTTCCCTGGCTTGCCTTCAGTCAATGGAGGGCAGTAGCCATTCCCAGCGGGCAACCCAGACCATAAAAACTTTATCCTGTCTGCTGGCATTTTGATGGTTCCCCATCAAGAGTCAAGTTTATCTTACATGACAGACTGTAATTGCAAGGCAATTAAACTGACATCTCTGAAAGTTCAGTTCAAGTTTTGCACTTCTCCCATCATTGGTACAATCAGGGTGAAAAGTTGGTCTGCAGTGGGTCTGCCGCTCTGTTAACTGCTCAGGAGGGCTAGAAATTAAATTTCATCTAGGATTCCTTCCTTCTTTTCTCCTTCCCTCAATGCTGTAAATCTGTAACTGGAGTAGCTGCAGCAAGAGATCTCAAACTGGGGATGAAATCCACAACGCCCATTTGTTCTCTGTGGTGGCATTATGCCAGTTTTGATCCAGCTACAGATCTGACCTCTCCAGGGGGGAAGAAAATTAAAGAATTGCAATGAATATGCCTAAACTCCTTAGACATGCACAAAACAGCAAGCACAAATCCCTCGCTGCAGTTTTAGAAAAAATTACTTACATTGTCTATGCAAATAAAGGAGAGATCCAGAAAAGCAACTGAAATTTTAACTAGCCTTTGTGATTTGCAAGCTGATGGCATATGCTGAGAGCATTGCCTTTGGACTCCAGTTGCCACCACTGGCTCCCTGTACCTCCACAGAGGACATTTTTAAAGGCCAACACCTATTTAAATAAGCAAAAGAGAAGCAGCAGCTTTCCTGCTCAGGGTGTAAGAAAAGAGCTAAAATATTGCCTGGTTTTTGGGCTACTCCAATCATAAGATATTAAAACATTTCATGTATTTGTACTGACTTCCTTAAAGCACCAACACAGATTTAAGCAGTTGTTAAAGTGTGTTATTGGACTAACCCGTCATGGAATGCTGCTGTGGTGAAGAAAATTTCTACAATTGCTTTAAAAAAAGAGGTCACTGCAAAAATGGTGCTTTCAATCAGTAGCATACCCTGACACAGAAAGATACTGCTGAAGATAAGATACTTTAACTTCCCATCCACAGCTGGCAAGATAAAAAACTGCTTTCATGCTTGCGGAAAATTCATTTTTGGCCCCCCAAAGCATCCTGAATATGTTGCAAGAAGCACAGACTGCCCAGTCATTATAAACATACATAGGAGAAGGCAATGAGGAATTTAATTCTCCCTTCAGAAATTTCAGAATGCTCTACCAGTGGGTGATGGGATCCCACCCAAAGCATACAAACTAAACTGTTCTTCTGAAATAGCACTACAGGATGCATCTGGGAAGAAGCAGAGGAGTATGATTTCATGAAAAAAAACAACTCTAGCCCAAATTTTGCCCCTGTTAAGTGGGAGATCTCTGCTAAAACTCTAGAAAATCAAGTTTGGTCCAAACAGTGACGTTTAAAAAAAGGTATCACTGGCTGCCTTTAGGCTACAAATCAAGTTGCCAAACCTTTTAAGGTTCTCTGGGGCTGAGAAAGTTCAGAATGAGTTGTACATGAAATGTTTTCATGAAAGAGTGCAGACATAGTCCTGAAAATTGGTACACCCACTAAGCTGACATCTCCAAAGTTGAGAGGAACTGGTTAGAAAGGTGGGACTGAGAATTTGCTTCTGGTGCTAAATTACATCTAGGAAAGAAATATCTGTTTAAAAGCAATTTAAAGAGGTAACACTCCAGGGAAACAGTTGAGGAGGAAGGGTGAAATTTCTATAGTCTTCTATTGCTTGGTGTTAACCATGGATCCAGTTTAGAGACCATGATCACCCAGCAAAAGCTTCATTCTATTGAAGAAAGTTTTGTAAACCTTTCTTAAATCCATTCCAAATAGAAGAGCAATGGAAAGCAGTTCCTTTCTTTGCATGACAACTTGGGAGATTTTTCATTTCTTGGGTTATCAGAAAACTTCTGTGTGGTGGTCACAGCCGTTGTGTTGGTAGTTTTCTCTGTGTAGTTGTTTCTAGTACTCACCAGCTCTGATTTTGTGTCCTCCCTGCTTGCAGGTGGAAGCACGCCTCCTGGTATAACTGCACCAGCTGTGCCTAGCATCCCATCTCCCATTGGGGTGAATGGTTTCACTGGCCTCCCGCCGCAGGCTAATGGGCAGCCCGCCGCAGAAGCCGTGTTTGCTAATGGCATCCACCCTTACCCAGGTAAGCCAGACCAATGCCGTGCCCACAGCCTGCTCCTTCAGTCTTAGGAAGACTATGTATCTTCATGGACTTTGTCCAGCATGAGCCACCTCAGAATGGTTATACCCCACACCATCAAGGTTCACTCTAGCATCGGTGCAGTTGTTAAGCACTTAAATCTGGATGATAGAAATCAAGGGCATGTTGGAAATGGAAATTTTTTTTGCTGAAGAATTGAGTGCTCATCTGCTGCATGATTTGTCTGGTGAATGCAATCAGGACACACTGAATGCTTTGCTTTAGTTAAAATTTTATCTGAGGCCAGACCAGTTTGTGCTGGCAGATCTCCTAGTGGTAGTCCCAAGGGTCATGCTCCAGGCTAGTCTTGAAGGAACTGTGCTAAGCCTGTTTGCTTCTTCTAGTGCCCACCATTGGCATCTCCTGCTGGGATTCACTTTCAGCCAGGTGGCTCTGGGAGGACAAGTCCAGAGAGTCCCATGGCTGCTGACCCAAACTGCTACCTGTCTCAGACCATGTGTGCAGGCAGGGTGTGCTGGTCTCTGAAATACTCACTGCATCCAAATCCTGATGCCTTACCAGGCCTGGAAACTGAAGGTCCTTTAATATAGCCACAGAATGGGCTCAGCTTCAGCCTTTTGAAGTTCACCACCAGAGAACTGCTACTGGGATTCGTAGACTGTGACTAGCTCAAAAGATGCCAGTACCAAAAGAGTAATTTTGCAAGCCCTAGCAGTCAGGAATGAATGAATGAAGCTGAAAGATGCATAAATACCTCTATACCTTTAGTTACAAACACATGGACACTCTGAGGCTGTGTTTCACCAAGAACTCAGGAGTTTGCAAGTCCTTAATGTGCAGCTACATTTTTTCAGTATCCTCAGGAATTGAGGCAGCTCTCTCCTACAAGCTGTACTTCTGCTAGGAAGACATTCCTCACCATTGCTGTACACACACTAATAATAACAATAATAACAATAAAAATTTAAGTAAATGTTACTAATTGATCCTAGTCACCAGCTGGCAAAGGAGTATTTTACCCGGGGCACTCATAGATTGATCTAGACTGTTAGGAAATCAAACATTGAGTCAGATGCTCCAGCCAAAAACCCATAAAACTCGTAAGAAAAAAATTCTTTCAATCTCAGCCAGTCCTGAAAACTCAGAATATTCAACATCACAGGGGACTTCATGAGCTACAAGGAAAAATATCACCTAACACAGAAATACAAAAGTCTTACCTAGTTACTGCTTAGACAATGTCACTGAAAAAAAAAAACAACTGTAAATGTAGCAAGGAGCAAAAATGTCAAGAGTATTGAAAAAAAAAATTTCAGTTCCCACTTTCCCACCTTTTAAACATTTAGCCATGGGTTCAACTTTAATCAGAATTGAAATCAAGAAGCTTACTATGCTAAAAGTTAGGTATGCATGTAAGTGTTTGTAGCAGCTTAGAGGGATAGTGAGCTCTTGGAGGCTTACAGAGGCATCAGGAGGCTGGAGGGAGCCCTTAGTGTGCTCAGTGAACTGAGCTGCAGCAGCAATATAGCACCCTGTCTTTAAGGTTATATAAATATAGCCATCTGTTCGACTCTCCATCTAAGTATCTATCTGTGTGCCAGTCTATCATCTCTCTGTTTATTCATCTATTTCTATGTCCATCCTTTTTTTCTGGTTTATCTAGCTCCTTTTGGCTAATCTTCCATGATCCATTACTGCAGATATCAGAGAAAAGATGATCTTTCTAGATGAATCTTCATGGCTCGAGTTTTTGTTACTATCTCCAAATACTCCCATAATTAACAAAAGCTTCCAGTTAGGTATTTCATCCATGGTTATATAAAAGTCAGTGGCCTTAATCTGATTCTCTCTGAGGCTTGGAGACACTTGCTCAGAGTTCATAGTAAGTCCCTGCGCAAGCACCAACAGCCCAACACACCAAAAGGTGACAGTCATCCTCGCTCCACTCTACTGCAGGCAGAGGGGCTCCTTTCTGTGGGTAAAGCTGTTATCCAAATAGTTCGCTGTGTGTAAAGTTTGGATTTATCTGAGTGTACCCTCAGCAATGCATTGATCTTTCTCAGTGTTCAGCTCCCCATAATTTAGTGACAATGTAAGTCACAGCAGAAGTGTAATGGGAACAGTGGCAAGCCAAAGCTTCACCTCTCATTTTACCTCTGCCTATCCTCACTAGCAACGAAACCCTGAAAGCAAGTTCCTTTATATGAGAATGAGTGTAGGACACATTGTGTATTTGCTGTGTCCTGTTCTCTTCCTTCTCATAAGCATTTATGCACTTTCCAAAGCTTTACTCCTTGCCACATTATTGAGGCCTGGAGCTTAGCAGCATTAAAAAAAAGGATTAGATATTTATATGGGTAATGAGAACATCCACAGTCACATTAGACTGGATAAAAATGTAGAAAGGACACAAACCTTCATGTTTTATGATGCAAGCCAGCCACTAATTGCTTGGGGTTAGAAAGAAATTTTCATCACTGGGCAGCTTATTCCATCATTGTTCATTATGGGATTTTTTGCACTTTCCTCTGCAGCATCTGTTACTGGCACAGCCCTGTGGTTCTGCATGTATGCTTTTCTAAATGCAATAGCAGAAATAAAATATTAAAGCTAAGCATGCGATTGCACTAACATTATAGAAAAAAAAGAACATGTCAGTCACCATCTGAAGTCAGCATCTTCCAAACAACTTTCTTTATGGTATATCTCTCATTCTGAAAGTGGCCAAGAATGCTGCAGTATTATGTATAAAACCATAGTTTTGCTATGGTTATGACTCCCATATAGTGCCTAAAGCCTGAATTTTGCTCTCAGATACTCTCTCATACTCCACAAAAAACTCAAATGTGGGTTCACACCATGATATCCTGTAGCAGAATGTTCTTTGTTCCCTGAAAATAGCAAAACAGGACAATCAAAATCTGTAGAGGGATAGCATCCACATCATTCAGACCCAAATAAATCCCATTAATTGTGCAGTTTTTCTACACAACAACCTTTGTGTCTGGCTATAACATTCTTGATGCTGCATCGAAAGAACTGGAGAACTCCACATTCTTTGCACTATAAAAGCAGTTCCATATCATGTAATTGTATTTACTTCACAGTTTTGCACTTTTATTTTTCTGTCTTCCCCTGTGATCTTTTCGTAAGATTCCCGTCATCTGGAGCAGTGACACACACAGTATCATTTGAGTCAGGATACTGAACCATCCATGGCTTTGGGGCAAAGGCATGAGTACTCTGCACGAACCTACTCACCACGTCTTTAATCACAGCCCCAGTACGTGCTGGAATTTGCTTTTTCTGTACCTTTGACCAGGCTATAGATCCATGCAGTAGCACCAGAAAACCGTTCCTTGCAGACATACTCTTTGCAAGCCTTGCTCTCACCTTCTTCAAGCTCAGCCAGGACATAACACCTCACAGTGTGCTTTTTGACATGTACAAAATTACATGGGAGTAAATGTTTCCCATTCCACTAGCCTGAGCCCCTTTGGACATCTGGCCTTTCTGTGTACTATAATATATATATATATATAATGTCTGCCCTTTCGTCTTTTGGCTTGCAGAGCTATTGAGCATGGCAATGTGTCACAACACGTAGTGGGGACAAAGAGCATAATCTGTTGTGCCATGATCTTGTGAGTCACTTTGCAGCAGCGCAAGAGCATTTGCCATTTCCACATTAGCCATGGTAACAGGGATTGTGCTCTTCTGCCAAAGCTCCTTAGCCACCCAGAGCCCAGTGTCTCTCTTGTAGCAGTGTGAGATGTACAATAACAGTGGAGACCATCTGCATCAGTTTCTGCTTTGCCTCACGCCATCAGCCCTCTGCTCTCTGGTAACAGGTCCTCCTCATACTGAACTGCTTTGTGAAGAACTAGATAAAATGCTTGCTCCAAAAATAAAGCCTACTTGGAGAGAGAAAGGGAGGGAGTGATGAGAAAATGAGGAGAGCAAAGGGCAGCAAATGAGAGAGGAGGGATTGCTTATCAAAGGATCAGTAAAATGAGGGGACTGGGAAGAGGCACAGAGCAGAGCCCCCAGAAAGGAGTGAGGACGACTGTAGTGTTCTCCCCCAGAAGAAGAGGAAGTACACCCCAAAGCCTCCAATAGCTCCCAGACAAAAAATTAATCCTCCTGGGCCAGGGGGTGTCCAGCTTGACCAGAGCCAGGGGTGAGCCCAGTGGTACAGTACCTTTGTGAAGCCTCAGACAGGAAATGCTTTCCAGGATGTTGAGTTCTTCAGTGCACTTGGTCGGGGCTCAGACTGCTGAGGAAAACAAAAGCAAAGTACCCTCAGTTGCTCATAATACATTATAAACATGCCGCCTCATCTGCTGTTCTCAGCGATGCAGTGGTTCTGACTGCCCACCGCTGCCAAGACTGGCTCTGTCTCTCCTCTCTGCAGATATGGCAGAGATCCCCCTACTTCCCTTTGCCTACACTGTGAGTATGTCTGGCCTAGCAAGACAGCAAGCTCCACTTTCATACCCTGTTTGGGGCGCAGCCCTCTCCAGTGAGGACTTGATGTCAGTACGAATGGGCAGCCAAGCCTTTACGCCCACGTGTTGCCAAGCCACCGTTGAGATTGGCAGTAAAGGTGTCCCCCACGGGTGAATTCCTGTGCTGTAGAAACTCATGTCTTAGGAACTGAACCGAGACCATCAATTCATTTTCCCTGGCTCAACAAAGAGCTATCAAGCAGTAACCAATTTCACCCATTGCCAGCAGAGACAGGATTCAAACTCCATCTGTAATTATTATCATTACCCAAGCTAATTTTGCAGGGGAGGAGTTGCTGGCATGCTAATATGACAGCCTTATCTATTAGCTTGTCAGTTAGTCAGCAGTGCTGGTGATGGGCAGGCTGCTGCTCTGGACCAGTCAGTCCAGGATGGGTCCTGATCACGACAGACACCATCCAGTGGCATTGGCCAAGATCAGGGCTTCACTTATGCAGAGAAAGAAAGGGACTG